TAACAGGGGAAGTTAGATTGGATATAAAGAAGAAGTTCTTTACTGTAAGGGTGGTGAGGCACTGGAATAGGTTGCCCAGGGAAGTTGTGAATGCTCCATCCTTGGTGGTATTCAAGGCTGGGTTGAACAGAGCCTTGGGTGGCATGGTTTAGTGTGAGGTGTCCCTGCCCATGGAGGGGGGTTGGAACTTGATCTTAAGGTCCTTTCCAACCCTATTCTTTGATTCTAAATGCTCTCAATTTTGTGACCTAAGCATAGACATTTACTGCAGTGTTCGTATCTAAAAGAGTAATGACAAAGTCTGTGCATGGGCAAAGCCATGTCCATGCTGCTGCCCAGGATGTAAATTAATAATATGGTAATAATTGAACAAATCAGGAAATACCAATCATCAGGTGAGAGAACTGAAATACTGCAAAGTGGAGGGTGAAGTGATTGGAATTGCTAAGGTCCTGGACTTCGGAATCTTGCTGAAAGTTGCATACTAATGAATACATTCCTTGCAGAGGAGAATGTATGGTATTGAGGCCCACTCTGTAGTTATAAAGATGACTTTTAAAACCAGCTGCCCAAGATTTCAGTGGGAACTGTGGAAGAGCCATGACCTGAATCCAGAGGCATTGAAGCCCAGCACAGTGTGCTATTAATAAATCTGTCTGGTCTAAGTATTGAAAAGATCCTCAGGTGTAGGAAGAGCTGATGTTACACCTGCCAGTCTTCCCAGACATCTTTTCTGATGCGTCAGTGTAGGTGTCATGTTGAGTTTCAGAAGTTTGCTCTTAGTGAAAACCTGGGTTTAATCTGGCAGTTGGATAGCTAAGAAGCCCCACAGTTCAGCATCAATGAGAAAAAGACGTAAAGACAAATGCTATATCTGGGAGTTGGTGCCTGATTTGCCATATGATAATACCTTCAGGTTGCTTGAATTCTTAAATAATCTGGGTAGAAATACTTGCATTTTTAGGAATTTAATCCTGCTCTGTTAGCCCTTGATAGGCCTGATCGGGAAAGTCCACTTTCAGGCAAAAGTCTGGTCAAAGTTAGTAGAAGTTCTGTAAGACTAAAGGCCTTAGAGTCTGAGACATTAGAATTATATGCATGGTGAGCATTGTAATAAGGAAAAAGGATATCACAATAAGACTTCAATATACTGTTTACACTGTTCAAGTCTGGTGCAGTGTCCTGAGTTCAGCTATAGCAGCTATTTTTCTCCTTTTTAGTAGCTGGTGTAGTGCTGCATTTTCAACTTTAGCCCAAGAACAACACTGATAACATGCGTGTCTTTAGTTGTTACTGAGTAATGTTTACTCCAATCAAGGACCTTTCAGTCTCATACTCTGCCAGTGAGGAGGGGCATGGGAAGCCAGGAAGAAGCAGAGACAGGACAGCCGGCCCAAACTAGCCAAAAGGGTATTCCATACCACAGCACGTCATGGCCAGTATAGAAACTGGGGGGAGTTACTCAGAATAGTCTGGGTATCCGTCAGCAGGTGGTGAACAGTTGCATTGTGCATCACTTGTGTTTATTGTTTTCATTTCCTTTTCCTCTTTTATATTCTCTTCCCTTGTTATTTCCCTTATTATTATTGGTGGTATCATTAGTGATTTGTGTTATACCTTAGTTACTAGACTGTTCTTGCCTCAACCTGTGGGAGTTACATTCTTTTGATTCTCCTTCCATCCCTCTGGGAGAGGGAGAGAGGGAAAAGGGGGCATGAGCGAGTGGCTGCATGGTTCTGAGTTACCAGCTGGGCTTAAACCACAACATGCAGTCATTTCAATGGAATCGTCCTTTCCTACAATATACACACATTACATTAAATCAATTAAGAATCATATATCAGTGATTATTTAGTAGTAATCACATAAAGCCAACTTTTTGTCATTTCTTAGCGATTAGGCATTGTACAGTGCTTGCATTTCTAATTACAGACAGTCTGTAAAAGCAGTTCCAATTTGTATGATATATGCTAAACGGGCAGCATTTGTTTCTATTGTTGATCCATCACAAGAAATAACTGTAGTTATTATTCTCATTTGGGGTTGTTTGGACTGTGGGTACAGGTACTGTTACTGCTGTCAAAGTGGTTCCTGCTTCAGCACAGAGCCATATGTTTGCAAAATGTGTGCTGAGAGCATCCCTCACTATTGCTGCCCAGTGGTACCTACAAAAAAGCATTTGTGAATCTTTATGGTGGCATTTCAAAATAGCCCTGCCTTGTCATGACTTTCATTTTTATGTCTTTGAATATGGGTTAAAGTGAAGAGAAAAACAGTAATTGCTGTTGTTATGCCTTTGTAGTAGATCTAATACTGAGCTAAGGATTAAATCAATACTGTCATTTCTATATAAAATTTCAGTTACATTTTAAGCCATTATCTCAGTGAATATGCATTCACTCGCTGCCTAATGCATTCAGTTTTACAACAAAACTAATAATTAATTTTATCTTCGCTGATGTTAGTGTGTATTATAGTGTTCTTCAAAACTGGTATTTGCAATGTCATTTTGCAGAATTTTAGGAGAAACTATAATGTTAGAATAACATCTCTTACACCAGTCTAATCCCTTTTCAGTTGTTTCATTCATATTTTGTCCTCTTGCAACAAGGGTATGTAAGGAATGAGTAACTGGTTTGTCAACAGGGACCATAATGATTAAAATACAAACAATAAATATGACTTCAGGTCTGGAATCAGATTATAGGATTAAAATGAATGAAAAACCTGCTCTGTAGTAGGACTGCAAAGTTCCAATCAATATCAATGTATAACAATTTTAAAGGGAAAATGTGGAGGTAAAGAAATAAGGCATAGAAAGCCCAACTTGAGGTTGTTAGTGATGCTTGAGTTCCTTGATTTTCATTTGGTTTATCAGTAGGTTCCAGCTAGAAAGCTGCAATGTTAACCATTCTTTTAATTTATATTATCTCCATTGTGCTGTTTTGTTTTGTCCTTGTATCATAAGAGTTAAAGACCTCTACCTAAGCTGGCCTTAGGTTAATGCAGTAAAAGGGAAGGAGGGACAGCAGGTATGGAGGGTACAGAGCAGCTGACACCTCACCAGCACCCCCTTGCAAAGGGGGAAGTAGTACCTGCGCATTTCTGCCCTTTTGAGTTGTAGTGTGGAAATAGGGCATTGGTTAATGTTTTGAATCAAAGATGCGTTGGAGAAATCTGCTCTCGTTCATCTGAGCCTATCTACAGGAGCGCGGTAGGACTTGTCAGCACAGGAGGCAGATAGTGAGGATGCTTCAGGTGGTCTTAGGGGCACCCCAATCTTTCACATGCAGGTGGGCTCTCTTTGCTTTGCCCTGGGCAGCCTCGTAGCCCAGCACTATGCCTGTGCTTACTCTGTCCATCTCACCATCATTATGGTTAAGTCCTTGGGAAATCACAGTCTCGGGTTTTGTACTGGGGGGGTCTTCTTGGGCTGTGTTCAAGACTAAAAGCATTTGTATGCTGCTTCAGCCTTCTCTGCAGAGATCTGGAGGATGCTAAAAATGCAAAGTAGTGTTGTTTTAAATATTCTTCAGGCCAGATGTACTAACCTCAGTGTGAAGTAGATTTTCCACCAGAAGGTGTATCTTCTGGATCATGGAGAAGGGCCATGAGAAGTGCCACCTCTGAAAGGCGTGGTTTCTGAACATTTCTGTTCTTTACGTATTATCAATGTGATGAAGCTATGTTTTCACTTCTGGTGATGACGTTATGATAAATCAAGGTCTGGGGTGCTTAGTCTCATGCATCTGTCACAGGTTGCCTTTTGAAAAATAAATGCGTTTGTCACTTTCTAAAAGTCAAGCCTGCCTGAGAAGAGCTCTCCAAAATTGGCAGTGCTTAAACCTACCAGGCTTTTGATTTTTTTCTTTTAAATCTCATGCAAAATGTTAGTTGCATCTTTGCAGACACCTAAAGGAGCTCAGCTGTGAATAAGCTAAAAAAAATTTTTTAAGTATTATTTTTATTGGGGAACCTAACAGGTCATATCATAAATGTCTTGGTAATTTACCATCTGTGTCCAAGAACTGTTACAGCAGCTTGAGCTATATACATAGTGCAGAAGTGAACTGCGCAGATTTAGGTTGTAGCTGCTATTGCTCCCTGAGACGTGACACCTTCTGTCATTAGTGGCAGTGCTGACAAGGTGCAGCATGGCATTCTTATCCTGCTTGCACAGCTGTGCTCCCGCCTTTGGAAATTGCTGCACGGCCCTGTATAGGGTTTCCTGATTGTGTCCAGAGCAGCTTGAAGAGCTCTGCACTGCTTTCCAGTATGTGATACTGGCCTGCCCACAAACTCGCAGGAGGTCAGCAGAGCAGAAAAGATTGCTATCCTGTCCAGAGGAGCTTCATGTTGTACATTTGGTGTCTTTCCTCAGAGGAAGAAGAGGGAAGAAGGTTTGCTTATTGCTTGAGCTGTTCTTGGACATATCTGGAAACCAAAGCAGAAGAAACAGAAGGAAACTCTATAGAATTGGGGGCAAGTCATGTGAAGTGTCCCAATGTCAAGCAAGTGCAGCAAAGATGAGACGGAATAAAAACAAAGCTTGGAAGCCTTGTTGAAGGGGAGCAGGGGATAGGAGGAAGGTGTAGTGTGAAGTCCTGCAAATGTGCAGGCAAGTGCCTGCCAGGAGCTTGAGATAGGCTTCAAGTACTTACATGAACTTTTAATTGTAGAAGATTGCATGAAAATTGTGTTTTCTTCCCCATTTTCCTGTCTTAATCCCTCTGAAAGAAGATGGCAGTAAGCAGTGACTATTACCACAATGCATTTCTGATTAACAGCAAGGGCACAAGGGCACTCTCAAAATAGAAGCAAAGTCAGGATTGTTTTAAATCACAGTGTTGCAGAAGTATTAAAGCAGAAGCCATAATTTTAATGTGTTCATAAATAAAATGCATGCTACTGTAAACAGTTGTGTACATTCATCTAGCTGCTACTGCCTGGCATAACCTTTTGCGTTAGGTTTCTGTGATTCATTTTTTCTTTTGTTGCAGAGAGTCGAATGATTCTGGATGCCTTTGCCCAACAATGCAGCCGGGTTTTAAGTCTCTTAAATTGTGGTGGAAAACTACTGGACAACAATCACTCTCAGTCCATGATTTCTTGTATAAAGCAGGAAAACCCAAATTATAGTGACAGACAAGAGCAATGTCAGCTTGGGAAAATGGTCCATAGTCAGACGTCAGACATTTTAGACATAGAGATGCAGTATATGCAAAAGAAACAACAAACCTCAGCCTTTCTGAGAGTTTTTACTGATTCCCTTCAGAACTACTTGCTTTCTGGGAGCTTCCCTTCTCAGAACACCTCATCAGTAAATGATTTTAGCCATTTGGCAGATATGGATCCACTTTCAACCTCTCCAGTACACACTTTAGGTGGATGGACATCTCCAGCAACATCTGAATCTCATGGTCACCCATCATCTTCTACGCTTCCAGAGGAGGAAGAGGAGGAAGAGGAAGAAGGGTACTGCCCTCGGTGTCAAGAGCTAGAGCAGGAGGTAATTTCATTGCAACAAGAAAATGAGGAACTTCGTAGAAAATTGGAGAGCATTCCAGGTAAATAATCCCCTGCCATATAATATTGTCAACCAGATAAAATTACTTTGGGTTATAGAGGGTTTTTTAGGTGGGTTTTTTTTTAAGTTCTGGTTATTTTTTAAGGATGCAGTCATAGTAATCCAACACTGGAATTTGTCTCCAGCCAAAATTCCTACAGCTGTGTCCACTGGAAAATGATCTGCTGGTACTCATCCATATGAATCTTTAGTCCTAGACTAGTGAGCTGTTTTGTGGATGGGATGTACTTGTAATCTCAGATCCCAAACATCAGGTCATAGTAATTTCAAACATATACGTTTGTACCTAATTATCTGTCTTGTTCTTTCAGTGACATTCCATTTTATAATCCTAATTCCCCTTTGGGGCTTCTTATTTGTTTGCTTAAAGAAACTGTTCAAAGTTACATCCATACTTTAACTTAAGTAGATTTGGCTTTTACCTGGAACAGTATCTTTTAAATTGCTGTTAGCTCAGCGGGAAGCATAAGTTCATCTCCTCCCATTCATCTTTGAATAAACCTTAAAAAAGTTTTTGCAACAACTTCTCCAGTTCAGCAATACCTAGCAACTGCTGGGAGAGAGAAAGCAGGCAGAAAACCCCTGTCTGATAGAAACCCCGTCAAACTTCTCTTGCTCCTTTAAACTTCTCACTGTTAAGGTGGACTGAGATACTTGAAAGAGTGATATTGGAGATAAATAAAGTATCTTGGTCCCATAACCTCTAAACTTTAAGTACAGACAAAAATACACCACAAATAATACCAAAAGGACGTTTAAACTTAGTAAGGAAGGTAAGTATATAATACACTTCTGACATGTATAGCCACTAGGAAGCTGCACTGTTGATAGCTGAAGTTTGAGGCACTTAGGGTACATCCATATAAAGTTAATGGCACTAATCCCTAAGTTGCAGAAAAGGACAGATGATATAGTATGGGCTGCAAGAGAGAAAATACTTGAAAGCTGCTATCTATGCAGAAAGGAAGAAGCCAGTAACTACTTCTCCAATATGTAGGTGCAGTTGCAAAATCTGAGCAAAAAGAAGGCAGCAGTCTTCATAATTCTTCTCCCCAGCTGTCAGTGATGTATTATGCATTACTTGTATTACACTGTGGGTTTCTTTTGAGTATTGGTCCTTAAGGGTACCCGCAAATCCCACAAGCAGCACTGTTCAGAGAAAACCAAAATCTAGAATACTTTCTCCACCCTTCCCTAAATCTGCAGTCACCATAACTTGTGCTCTGTCACTGGATTTGGTAGTGGTTCTTACATCATGTGGAAACACTGTGACAAAGGAAATCATGTGGATTTAACTCCTGTTGAGTCCTAGCTTCGGGTGTGTTAAGACCAAAAATTATCATTAGGCTCTATAATCAGACCTACAGCTTTCATTTAATCACCTGTATTGAACCCAGAAATCTTTTGGCTTTGGCTAAAGCATAACTTAAAATTTATTTAAGTAGTATCTCAGAAGGCCTCCAGTCCTGAGTTGGAGACTCTGATGGGCAGTCTCCAACTCTGTTCCCTGGCAGTTATTGACTCCACTGGTTAATTTCACTGGTGAAATCGTGTGCCTTATTTTCTGCCTGACCATGTGAAATCAGCTTCTAGCCATTGACTTTCATGCTTTGCTCAACTCAATAAAGTGCTGTATAGGACTTGGTACCTTTTCTGGTTGAAGGTATTTAGAGATTGGAAGCTGACTTAATTTCCATCTTAGGTGAACTAAGCAAACAGCTGTTTAAAACTCCTCAGGTGAATTCAGTCCTTCTTCACAGTTCTTTTCTCCCCTGGTGCTCATTTCTTTAAAAACTCTGCCCTGGAATACATGCAGTATGTGCCTATCTGCCTGAGCAAAGGTGAATAGTTTCTTTGTTCTCCCCCATGGTTGCCCTGGTCATTTGGCCGTTGGTTGTGCAGCTGAGCTTCTCCTTCTGTGCATATTTCTTCCTAGTCATACACTGTATTTGGCTGTGTTCATGTATGAAGTGATCCAGATTGCTTTGGCTGCCCTGTTTGCCCAGTGTTTGCTGGTGCACCAATTTCTGTATCATCCAGATTCTTTTTATAGGTTTTAAATCAAGATCATGATCTTGGTTAGAAGTGCAGAACAGTATTGAGGCTGCTGCCAGTCCCTGTTGAGCCTTGCTAGAAACACATCTAGTCATGATGGTTGCCCCAGTGACAAATAATTTGAGATGTCAGTAGCAGGTTCTTAATCCATGTATGCTATAGTCTACTGATGATACATGTTGCTGCTTTTGCAATCAGATAACTCATGGTAGCAAGTTAAATGCCCTTCAGGAGTCTAGATATATTAAATCTGTTCAGCCCAACTTTTTCAAGCGAACCTATAATCTCATCAAAGAATGACAATTAGGTTAGTCTGACAAGATCCACTTTCCATAGGGTCGTTTTGACTGGCATTAATTTTATTCATATTCTTTAGTTTGAAGTCAGTTGAATCCCCTTGCGATTACCTGTATTTTGCTAGGATTAATGCTGAGTTAAGCAGCTAGTATTTACCAGGGTCATCACAGTTACCCTTCATCTTCCCTTTAAAAGAGAGATGAACCCCCCCAGGAGTAATGAAACATCCTGTTAACAGTGTATCAAAGGAAGCAGACAAAATAAATGTGCAAGGACATACGACTTCATCAGTCAACATAAAATCGTCATCAGACGCATCTGCTGCTGTCTGGGTGACATATACAGGTAGGTCTAAAGTGACCCGTGTGTCTGGGGAAGTGTAAAGAGCCACAGAAGGGACCCTCAGATTTTGCCACATGGTAGGACAGAGGTCTGAGTTTGACAGGCAGTCCCACAGCTACTCTGAGCAAGGTTAATCAAAAATCAGCTAAAGGTGATATCTAATTATTTTTGTCTCCGGTGGTGATTTTCCTCAGTGAGCTTCTGCTACCGAAAAAGCCACCCAGAAATTTTCCTGTGACTTGAAACACCCAACTTGGTTTGCAAGTAGGCACATTGCTCACTCTCTGAGCATTTTGGTTTTGCCCATCGGGACATTGCATGTCTGATGTCCTGAAACCTCTGCAGAGGGTTTCAGTGAGTGGTGCAATGAAGAGCCAACTGTGGAGGCAGCTAGATGAGCCTGGAGGCTGCCATACTGTCCCATCAAGCTGCTGAAAGAGCGCATTTTTTTGACATAGTAGTTTTCCTTCTCCTCCTTGAGGGAGCTGGGCTGGAGCTGCTCAGTGAGGCTGGCAAGAAGGCGTGCAGCCTGCCCTCCCTGCAGGCACTGAGGCTCTTGCCAGCAGCCCTGTCAACGGAAGATAAAAGCCCCAACCCCTCTCTTCAGCTCTGTAACCGCCTATGAATCATTTATTCTCTTCTTGAAATACTTTGCATTTCTTTTTTTTTACTTTCCATATGCAAAAGCCCTTTTAAAATCCATGAGAGTTGGTGATCTAAAAATAGTTGCCACTGTACATCTCTGCCTCTAGCTCTGCAAAGCACCATTTGCATGGCTCACAAAGAGACTACAAGGAAGAAGAGTGTTTTCTCAGCAGATGTAAAGGCAATGACTTTTTTTTCACTAATATTACTGAAGACATATGATCCTCTAGCTTTTGGACACAGAAAATAAGATTTTTCAGTTTTCAGAACTCTGCCCTATTACTGTAGAAGCCCTCCAGTCATTAGGATCTTTTTGCCCATAGCAGTATCACTTTTTGGCAGATCACTGGAGAAAAACTATTACATGGATGAAATACTGCATGTTTTGGTTGTTTGGTTGTTTTTTTCTCAAAAAATACCCAGTCGATTTGTCTGAAAAAACACTTAAATTTGTGTGAAATCTTAATTGTTTTAGCTATGGAATACATGAAGTAACATTCATATTTCAGTGCTTTGGCTTTGGAGCAATGGAATTTCTTGCAATTTGTGCAGTTTCCCCTATTTTTTTGTTTATTTTTTTTAGGGAAAAATTAAGCAAACATTTTTAGATTTCAGTTCAGCTGAAGAGAAACATTTTGATAAAATAATTAAAGATTAGATAATTCCTGGCAGGACTTTGGCAAACTTATCAGTGGCTCTTCAAGGTTTTGAGACTATCAGGAACAGAGCAAAGCAATCCATCTATCCTAGGAGAAAAGTGTCTCTTTCGTGTGTATAAAATTACTGGGGCTGTGATACTTTCCCAGTAGTAAAATTAAAGACCTATTTGTGAAACTGCATGTAATACCTGGATTTAGACCATCTAATATATAAGGAAATTAAGCAGCTCTCCTTTGCTATTGTGAACATGATTTTCTCACAGTTTTCTGGCCAAAAAGGGAGAAAATATTTCCAGGTGGTTAAAGCAAAGGCCAGAGTCATGAGTGAGGATTTGCCTCTTGGTGCTCCTAGCTTCGCTGCATGGTTTTGGACAAACCACCCTGAAAGTATGAAAAGTTATAAATAAGGTGAAATGGAGTGTGATAAATACAGTAATTATTCTGACCTTGCTAGCCTGGCAGCAAGAAATACTCCAGCAAACAGCAGAAGGATGGGGGTGGAAAACCCTCAAATGTAGAGAAGTGGTCACTGATAGACGGCATTCATGGTGGTGGCTGGAGGTAGCCAAAGCAAAGTGGGATTTGCAGGTCAAGTTAATATCAGTGTAATTGAAAAAGTCAGACAAGTTTTCCAGGAGGTTTTGTGTGCCCAAGGCTTGACTCTCTTTCCTGACGGTTGATCTAATAAAAGATATTACTTTTCCATACAAATCCTGTCTCCTTTATACTTTTAGAGCATCGCGTTTCCAAAGAGCCTACCACAGCCACAGCGTAGATAAAGCACCCATCAAGGGTTATGATGAACACTTTTTCATGTCCTTTTTTTTCCCCTTGATATTCACATTTAACCACCTCCTTGGTTTCCCTTGATGTTCTAGATGTTGTGGTCTGATCTCTGGCCTTGTTCTGCTATTCAGCTTCAAAGCTTGAAATTACTTCGGGAAGAGAAAGCCTCAGGCGCAGTCACCCAGTGTTTGGCACGAGAGCCCTTTTGAATTTGCAGCATTGCTTTACTTGCAGCTTAGGGGTGCCAGCTTGGTTTGCTAAACCAGCCTGAGTACAAAAGCTCACTGAAACATGTAACTGCAGCAGACCAGCACTTTATTAATCTGTTTTCTCTACACTTCTGGGTAAAAACCCATGAGAATTTTTGGGGTCAAGTTTCCTAGCCTACTCTGAGGAGCAAGAGCTGGTGGGGGTTTCGTGGGGCACTGTGGTTCAGCCTGGTGAAGCTGAGCTCCTTGGTGTCAACTTCGGTTTGTGTTTTTCAGGTAAGCATTTGTCTTTTTAGTGACATGAAGTCCTGTTCCAGCTCACCAGGGGCTCCTTGGTTTCCCTGTTAGTTATCAGCAGTTTCTACTGACTAGAGAGGTTCACAGGAGAGGTCCCTGTCCTGAAGACTTCACAACTGAAAGGGAGGACAAGTAGAGGTACCTTCTTTTAAGCAGAAGGAAAATGGGAGGGTACAGACAAAAATAAGAGCCACAGAAGAATGTGGGAGCGTCATTTAAATGAGAGATTCAGATCTACTGTGTTTTATCTCTTCTGTTGTTTAGGCAGAGGTGTACACCCCAGGGGTGTACGGAAGGGGCACATTCTTTCCTCTTTCTGGAATAAATATTTTTGCGAAAGAAAATTAAATACAGTGGCTTTTCAGATGCAGATTAACAGAAGTTCGGTGGTTTTCCACTCCACCTGAAAAACACAACAGAGGAATTTCAAAAGTATCAGGATATTTGCTATCATTTTTTCTCTCTTGTTTTTGGCAGGCGCGTAGGTCAGCTTAGCCAATATTTAACACACCCTTCCGCGGGTAACACTGATTCTTCTGATTTCTGCTGGCTGCTTTCACTACAAAAGAGTGCTAGTTTTGTTATCATCCAGTTACAAACATCCAAATTTGCAGGGTATTGAGTACCCTACAAATCTTTACTAATCCACATCTCTCTTTACCAATCCACATCTCTCTTTACCTCTCACTCTTTTTCTAGCTCACTGCACCCCAACAACTTGTCTTCACAGCCCATCAATGCAGCTTCCACTGGCTTTCAGCTGACTATTGAAATAAATGAGCGTATGAGCTAAAATAATCCAAGCCATGTTACACTGCACGCTTGTCCAAATCTCAGGCAGAGAAGGCATCTCCATTAATGCTATAAGAAATTCACACTGCCATGTAGTCATCAGCAGGTTCCCTATCATTTGTTACATCTTTTTGACAGTCGAGCACCAATTTAGAAATGCCCTGCAATGAACCCAGAGTGAAGCATTGCTCAAGGTCAAGGCAAGGAGGAGATACTACAGTGCTGAGCCAGTCTTAACTAACAGCTGCCAGTCTGAGCAGGTTGGATGTAGATGTACACCCTTCCCAATTCTCCTTGCTGGCTATTCAGAAGTAAATGGTCTTGAGTGCTAAGGGATTCATGTTCTGCTGTGCAAAGCACCAGCAGGAATACTAGCCAGTGTTGGCTACAGAGCACAAAAGCTTATTAATGAACTGAATAACTGGATTTCTTACTGTCTGCTTATGGGGCTGAGGCCACTGATGGGAGACAGCAGAGCTGGGGGTAAGCCGCCCCTTCTCGCTAGGGCTGCCTAATACCATGGGAGAGGTTGGAGATATACCTTATTTGAATTGCAGATAGACCTTACTTACAGCAAGCCCAGGTGTCTCTTCATAGTGCTGTGCTTTGGCAATATAAACAGCCTGGGGTGTGTTACACTGGAGACCACATTTTGGGGAGGATAAATGAAAACCCTTACTTTGACAGATACCAATACAAGTGATTGTGGCCCAATAGCATCTATAATGAGCAAAACCACAGTCCAAACCAGTAATAGAGGTGTTCTTGATGCTTCATAAAAAGTTGGAGGCAACTATTGGAGCCAAAGATTTTAAAAAACAGGAAACGAAAGAGTGGATATAATTGGGAAATATCAAAAGCATGTTGTTGAAGGCCCCCAAAGACTATCTAGGAGAAAAAGTTCCATAGTGGTTACAAAATCAACCAACTTGGAGAGAAAGCAAAGCAATGGTTAGAAACATAACAAATGGAACAGAAGGGAAGTTGTTGAAGTAAAAAAGCAGAGGTTAGGATCATTGGAAAATTAAAATCAAACCTGGAGCATTCTGTCGAGGAGGTATTCTTTCCCTGGCAGACAAACGGAAAAATATGGTGTCCTAGTAACAGTATTGGACCATTATCAGATGGAAATAATAGGATTTGACAAAAATTTGGAACTGCTCATTGAGTATTTCTGTTCTTGTGAAGAGTAAAATGATGCAGTCAGACCAATATGATGATGATGGTAAGCACCTAGAAGTATTTTCCACTGTAACTCCAGGTTTTAGCCACATTCAACAGTGGCTTCAGGTGGGACTGCAACCTCAGCTGTCTGCCTCAACTCCCTTCCAGTGTCAGAACAACTGAGTGGCTTGATAGTGCCAGAATTGCGGGCCTGTTTGAGAAATGATAAACAGATGCTGATTCCAGCCCAGGTTGTAAGACAGAGTGGGTTTACCCACTGGTGATGTCTGATGCGAAGAGAATTTAGCCTGGGGAGTCACTGTGCTATGTGGCAGGTCAGACTGAGAGACCCTAGCCTGGCTGTTGTCAGTAGCACAGTCTTTGGCCACTGCGCTGTTCAACTATTTGTTAGAAAATAGGATACTCCACAGAGAGAGCTGTGCAAGCTATGCCAAAGAAGCACTTGTTACAACATACAGATGCCTAGAGTATCAAATCTTCAAACTTGGATCAGTGAACAACAAAGACCTGCCACATCTTAACATCTGTCCTGCTTAACATCGTAGCAAGACCAGCATTCCCCCCCTGCTAAGGCTCCTTCCTAGTGGGCAGAAGAATTACTGCTTCCCTGCAGGCTTTTCTACTAAATTATGATAAGCAAGTGTTATTTTGATATTAGCATCTTTCCTGTTGGTTACTATAGGCACAGATCCCTGTTGGTGATGCTGGTGATAGTGGATATGTGCATAAGCATGCAGAGTTTCAGCTGTCACGGTTATGATCTTGTTAACTCTCTAGAGAAAAAGCCAAATCTTTTTTTTTTTGCCAGACCTTCTTAAAAATATCCAGTGCACTAAAATGTTACCTGTGGTTATTTTTCTCCTTTATTCCACATAAGAACATGTATTGAATGTTTTTGTTTGCTGCTGTATGCTAAATACACAGCTCTCATTATAGGAAGGCCACGGAACATGTTGGTGGGGCTGTTAATGCTCTTCTGACTTTTTCAGAATTGAAACATTTTCTGAAACCATCCAATGACACTTAAAAGTGCTTTTTTTCCTACCAAAAAAAAAAATGCTCTTCTCCTCCTATGTCAGTGTCACTGTGTAGCAGCTCTGGTCTAGCAATAAGAAGTGAAGTCACTGGAGAAATAAAACAGGTACAAGTCACTTGAAATGCTAACTTTCGCCTAACACATAACCTCCTATGGTAAAGTGTGATGTATCAAGTGAAACAGGACCAAATACACTGATGTCTTCACGGAGAAGTCAGCGATGAGTGAAAGGGCACAAGAATTCATTATTCACATCAGGCACGTCGCATGACTTCTGTATGCAGACTGCTGGATGTAACACCACTTAGCTTAAGGTGTTTGTTTTGCACAGAGTAAAGGTGTTTTGCACCCTGTCTGCCTGGAGAGGGGATAGTTGCTGCACAGTGTGAATGCCCAGGAAGGATTGCAAAATACTGATAAATCCTACCTTGAGACATTCTCAGTGATTTCAGTGCTTGTTTTCAGATTGCCAGCTTATGACAAAGCCCAAAACACTGCATTTTTCCAGGTATAAAGGCTGAATGCCAAGAAATAATATTTAAAAAAAAACAGAACACTGAAATATTTTTTCTGGATTTTTAGCTGAAGCTATGATTATCTCTGAATATTTTACAAAAACAACCCATATGAAATGTGCGACTGATAAGGTACCTTAAAAAATGATGCTTAATTTAGTCTTGAACAAGTCAGTTTTAATGTTGGGTTAATATCTGTTTAATTCTCCTGTGGTGGTTCAGGCTCAGAGGAGAAGCACTGTGTCTCAAAAATACTCCAGAGTTAATCAGGGATGTGGCAGCATCTGCTTAAGAGAGACCCGTAATTGAATCATCCGTAATTAACCTATCACCTCAGCAGAAGGGAATAGGATGTTGGTACCACTACTGGAATGGATGAGAGTGATGGGAATAGAAAGGGGGGAGGATGAGGGAAAGAGAAATAAAGCAATTTGCCTAACACCTACTTTTATTTGGGAGGAGGGAGGGAAGAGAAATTAAAGTATATGAATCATTAAATCTGTTCAGTGTAGTTAATGAGACTGTAGTTTCAAAAACTCTTGAGTGTGTTTACATGTTAATCAGTGTATGATTTAGGTCCAAGAAATGGTTTCTCCTTTGTATGGTTGGGCTGTTCACAGTACTTACAGATTTTTTTTCTTATTATCATTACTGCTGACCTAATTTGTATTTGTAATAATTATAATTCCAAAATAGGAAAAAAAACCTTTGACAACTAGTGGGCAGAGAATAAAAGCAATGTTGGAGATTTCAGCATAGGAAATACAACATCCATCATATATTTATGAATGAAATGCAACAAATCCAAATGAACAGTATTTCCTATCAGAAATAAATCTCACAGACGCGCAAAACAGATCCTGAAGAATACTGTTTAATTTAATATTGTTGTTACATTTTGTGCAAGATAGGTAATATACAATAATTGCAATTTTTTTTCATGCAGTGCCCTGCCAGACTGTTTTAGATTATTTGAAGACTGTACTTCAGCATCACAACCAACTTATGGTACCACAGCCAACAGACCATCCAACTGAGGTAGTATACAGTGAAGACAAGCTTCATCTCTTTATGTTTGACAATTCATTGAAAACACATAGGCAAATAAACCAGGAGGTGCTGAAAGAATATATTTGGTAGTAAAAATATGTAAAATCTATTATTAAACTGTCATTCTTAGGTACAGTAATCCCCAAATGGAGGAGACTCATCACTAGCGTAATCTAGGATGACTTCACTGACAGCACATAACTTCCTCCATTGGCACCAGCTGCACTTGCCTTGCTTTGGGTAGTTTTTCTCTCGCCTTTCTTCAGAAACTCACTTTTGTGGGTAGAATTTAGGCTGGTTGCTAGCCTGGTGAAAACTGCAGCTGGGTGGCAGTGAAACTGCTGTGAAAACTGCAGTGGCTGCACACAGCAGTTGCCAGTGCATGAAGGCTGGAGCCCGTGCATGGTGGGTATCAATATGTCATGTGTATGGATACAGACATGCATGTGTATACAATTAGTATAGCTGTGAGGCAGCTCTAAGATGGTTAATGCTAAGATGTGTTTCCTTCATTTTGCAGACAGAGCCAAATACAGACTTCAGCAGTCTTCAGCAGACTTCAGCAGACTTTAGAGTGCTCTTGCTTTTCAGAAAGCAGCCCAAACTATATGTTGAGTGTTGACGATTTTATACTTGATATGGAGTTTGGGGATTTTTGTAATTATGATCTGTTTAAAAGGGCTGCAGTCAAAAAGCAGGAAATTAAAGTCCCCCTCTTCTGTAGAAGGTAGATGTATCTGTCAGCTCTTGTGTAGGTCACATTAATTTTGCACCACTCTGTTTCTATCCAGACTTGTGAAAATGCCTCAAATTAAGAGGTTTTGTTGAGACTTTTCTAGTTTAGACTGTCTGCATTTGAGGCTCGTGCTATGCATGGGTTCATATGTGTAGGGTATACATGTCACTCCCCATTATTCACGCAGACAATATCAGAAGAGGGAACACTTGGGTCTAGTTTGACCTCCCTATGTACATAAATGATATGTATGCAAGCCTCAGATAGTCCAACTTACCGTAGTTCACTGAAGATGCTTTGCAGCAGTTCAGGATGTGCTTCACTTTGCTCCTCCATTCGGTTTTATCCTGTGCAAATTGGTACATACATATACGTATACCTGTACATATACATGTATATAATTAGCTGTTTTCACTCAAATGTATTTCAAGGATTCATTTTCCTTTATTTAATGCTCTTTTGCGTAACTAAAATTTTCAATCACTGCAAAAACCGAGGCTGTTCTCTAACATCCCACATGGAATAGTTTCTTGTGATGTGACAGAATTTTTTATTCAATTAAACACACAGATGCGAATCTTTTATTCATAAGCTTAATCGTGTACAAATACAAGCATGAACGCATTTGTACTTTGGTTCTTCCTTCAGGGTCTGCTTATTTCATTTCTGGAAGGTTTTCTGTTTGTTTTAGTTTAATGACTGCTGGACACACCAAATTGCATCATATATTTACCAAGAATCTTTTGCCCAGAAGTGCTTTACTTTCAGAGGAAGTAATGAAAGAGTATCTGTAGCAGGAACCCAGTAATCGTTTAACAGAATAGCATAACACTATATCATGCCTTTGGAGAAGAATGAGGAAAAATATCCTAAGTTTCAGGGGGAATAAGAGAGAAGTATAATAAAACTGGGGCTGAGGAGATTACGCAGAATTTATTACCTTCTCCTCGGTTAATAGTAATGTGAGCTCTCATGAAATTTAGATGTTGGGCCTTTCTGCATCCTATTTCCTTCTGCAATACATTTAAACACAGAGGCAGCTTTTAGGATAGCGTGCTACTTAGCAAAGCCACATCCGAGCATCCAACCCTAACACACATGAGCAAGCGTGGAACCTTACACTATGCCATTACGGGCTTGCATTGCATTGCTTCTGCCTGCCAGGGCTTAAAAGCAAGGCAGTACCTACTGAGCTAGCTGTAGCTTGTGCTGGTATCAATAAAAAAGGTCCTTGCTTCATTACAGTGTTTTTTAAAAAAAAAATAGGTTTCAGAAATCTAAGATAGGAAAATAATTTGCTTTATATAAAAGAGTTGCAGAGCTAGTTGCTGAAAAAATAAGTAGCAACCTGGGAAGCAGATGGTTCTGTGGTGGAGCAAGCCAAGGAAATACTAGTGTCGGCTCTCTCTGAGATGGTGTGGTCACAGTTTCTTCAGTGTAAGCATGTAATGCCCCCAAAGAGCTTTCCACGCTGTCCCCCTGCTCATCTTCCTTCCCCAGCCCTTTCACCATGTTGGGAGAGGATGAGGAGCTGGGCTGAATGGAGGGTGATGTTCTTTCCATGGCAGAGCTCCTCAGACATTACTGGCTTCCCAGGGGGGTGTGTACCTGGCAGAAATTAAAGCAGCTTCTTGTATCATGAATGGAGGGAAGGAATTGACACTGGCCCTTTTGCAGTGGTGAGAAGCGTCAAGTGAAGTGAAAAGAGAAAGTCTCAAATGATAACAGACTATAATTGAAGGGTCTTTCTCTTAGGGATGACAAACTTGGATTTACAAACTATAGGGGGAATCGAGAGTTGAGATGTTTTGGGGGTGGGGAAGGGCACCTCTGACACAAAGTCCATCTCTTCCTTTATATTTTGGCTTCCTTTGCAGAGTTTTGGATTTGATTGTAGGCATCTCTGCCAGCAGTTTGCACTGAGCTGAACAAGTAGCAGATGGTCACATAGGCTCAGCTCCCAGTGACACTAAGCCCCAGCAGGTCATGGTACCCTAAATCTTACAGATTCTCTGATGACATCACGGTCTTCACTAAATTCAGCCTTCCATATATTTATTCCATATACTTAGTAAACTTACATTTAGCAAAAAAAGTTAAAAGCAAATACCTGAGGAAAAACTTCAAAGATGCTCTGAAGCTGTCTCCCAGGATGCTATAATAAATATATGAAAGGAGGCAAGGGTAGTCCTTAAAATAATTTTCAGATATCAAAGATCTAGTAGCAAGGAGGAGAACTTTGCAGCAGTTGCCCACAAGTTCAGCATGCGGCTGATTGCCTCTGTTGAGGATCAGATCCATGTTTCTCTAGTTCACTGTGGGCTCCTGTCTAAGATAGGGGCTGTAAGAAGATTTTACTAATTGGGCTTCCAGATTTATGTGTTTTAATAAAGAGGTGGAGCTGTAAAAGTGAACGAGTCTCCAAGAGGATGGGGTTGGGGTTTTTTTGTCTACTTCAGTTATTTCAAGTATATTAACAATATCATTATATGTTAATTGGGTAATGCTAAAATAGCATTTATGGGCAAGAAGAATTAAATACAATTTAAGTACAATTGACTAAAGAGAGCTTATAAATGTGTGAGGATTACAGGAATCCCCATAATTAGTCCTACAGCATTCATTTGATTTTGGAATATTGAAGCACACAAATTATGAAGGTTAAAAGCAAAATTTCTTTCCAGCTGACACGGTGGCATTTCTGTAAAGCTGTAATTTGAGTTAATACAGCATTCATTAATAATAATGAAGCATTCAGTTTTCATAGTTCCTTTATTTATTTTCTTTACATTTTTCACAGTAACATAACTGCTGTCAAGTTTCAGGTGTGTTCTACAGAAGTAATAAATTTATTATAAAAATAGACTAAAAGAGTCACCTCTGAAGTAAACTGTCAGCTGCAATGAAGTGATCTATTTGATCACTCTCTTCAAAGACCCTTTTTACGCATTTTAACAGATTAAGAAGAAAGTTTATACTTAAATAGATATCCAGTCACTGATTCTTAACTCTTTTTAACCTGCTTGTTAAAGTGGAAATTACCAATAGCTACCTCACAAAGTGTATTCCTTGTGTCTCACCAGATTTGAGTTCTAGAAAATGGAAATGTAATTTTAAGAGTACTCATCTCAGTAACAGCAATTACGTGTTCACTTCAGGATGTGTTTTACTGTCAGTATCGCAGCATATTTTTTATTGCTACCAACATCTTATTTGCCTTGTAAAATAAGCAATGGAAATATTTCACTTTTTCAGGGGAGCAAGCAGTTGCTGAACAACTACCCTGTCTACATCACTAGTAAACAGTGGGATGAGGCTGTAAATTCTTCCAAGAAAGATGGACGACGGCTCCTTCGCTATCTCATCAGATTTGTTTTCACAACCGATGAGCTTAAGTACTCATGCGGCCTTGGAAAAAGGAAAAGGTCAGTGCAGTCAGGAGAGACAGGTCCTGAAAGACGTCCTCTGGATCCAGTAAAAGTAACATGTCTCAGAGGTACTGCATCTTTTCGCTCAGTGTCCACCATATGTGATCTCATTTCACCACATGGGCTCTGGCTGAGTAGAAGCATTGGGCTGACAGCTGCAGAACTAGAAGGGGTTTCACAGACAGGTGACAAGCAGCCAGAAACCCTCCACTTCTTTTTTTATACATACATACATATACGTATGTATGTATTATATATGTGTTGGGCTATTTTTTAATGGAAGAAAATGGGGCTGCTTATTTGAGAGAGGGAACAAATACAAGGGCACATGATACTGATACACTTAAAACAGCAAAGAAGAAAAATCATACAATACTGATTACACTCTTTTATAGTAAACCAACAGGGCATTCTTTAGGAGAGATATACACCAAATGAACCAAAGGGATATTGATAGGCTAATTCACTGTAAGCATAGGCCACAGTGCATCATTGGAGTTGAAAGCTAACCGAGTTTCTGTAGAGCCGAGAATGTCTACAGGTTAATTACATAGAGTGTGAACACATGCATTGTCAAGGATTTAACTTCTTTTTTGGGGTACTGATGCAAAGTTGACTGGAAAAGTTAGGGAACAACTTTGTCACATGTATAGCCTGAAAAGGAGGAGGAGCTTCACAAGCATTTCACAATGTCCAAGAGTGAGAATGCTGGACAATACAGAGAAAGGGCTCAGAATGAGAAGAATTACCTGTTGTGGCAGTTCACACTGTGGTTTCTAAAATTGTTCAAAAGGCCTAGTACTGGGCTTTATTATGAAACATACAAAACAGGCCTTTTTAAAGAACAATTTAAAACATTGTAGTAACAGTATCTGCATTTTATAAATGCGTATGCTTAATATTTTGTGAGCACATACACGAAATTTTGATTGAACTGACTTCAAGAATGCTTTACTAATCATTGCAGTGTAAAAAGCTCTATTTCGATCAGCCGATGATAAAAACATCTTTAGTCATCCAGCCGGAGTGGTTATATACATCAGACAGAGCCTCTTCCTGTTTAGGGTAGAAGACTCCAACAAGGCAAAGTTGATAAGACTTGTAGTTGGGGTACGTTGATGTAACCAGGTAATGAACTCAGATTTTACATACAGCCAAATTAGTCAGAGGCTCTTTTTTTTTTTTACGACAAAGGAACCTGTTAACCTGTCACATGATACTCTAACAGACCTTATATTTTATCAGAGCTTAATACAAGGGCAAGTCCATTGCACACCATAATGCACAGAGGTGTGGAAACAAGATTCAGGGTCCCAGAGGTTCTCTTAGAAAATGAAGACTAAATGCAAGTGCATTGACCATTTACTAAATGACTGTAAATTCCACCTAAGAATTTATACAGAACCAGAGTTAATATCCTTTTTTAGCTCTTTCTTCCCCCTGCCTCCCACCAAGACTAACAGTAAATCCACGTGTAGATGGACTTTTGCTTATGGCCACTCCTTTCTGGACGTACAGAATGTGCATTATTTACACGTCAGTTCCCTTACTTTGCAGACACTTGAAGAGAAAGCCAAAACTTTCAGTATTTAAGGACGAGTTGAGAAAGCAGAGTAGACAGCTCTCTCCCTTTGGGCTTTCATGCATTGGTGGGAAAACAGCAACTTTCTCTGCTGCCAAGAGTTGGCTAGTGGCTCCTACCCATTTGCAAGCCAAGGTAACAAGTGTCTGACTTGTAATTCTCAGCATGTCCAATTATGCCTTACGCAGTACAAACTGCTTCTCTCTCTGCACTCAGGGTAGTTTAAACATCTATAAACATTTTTAATATATTCCCACAACTGACTGATGTCTGGAATCAGCTTTACAACAGCCTGGCATGCTTAAATTATAGCATTACTTGTTTATGTGGTATTCATTTCCCTGAGAAAAACACCAGTCTGTGGAGCCCCACGTGAATGTAACTAGGTAGGAATTACTATTGCCTGTGTGGATTTCCAGGGAAATAAATTTAAAACTGAGATAGCTATCACTTGCAGACACACTGCTGGAGGAGCTATGCGAAAAATCATATCCTAATTGTCCAACAGATGAGATACCTTGCAGGCACAGGAACTCATGTGAAAGCACAGTATTCCCTGGTCTCAAGATGTGGTGACAGTAATGAAGTTGCCTTATGCCACTTACTATGCTGTTGGCTTGTCCACAGAAGAAAATAGAATTTAAAAATATCCTGGGACACACAACACCACATGAGGGAATAACTGTATTACAGAATAAATAAGAAGCTCAGTTTCCATATGAGGTACAGTGTATCTAATACATCTAATAAGGCACCCTCACATTTCAAATTGTATTTGGATGTTTCAGAGTCCAAATACACCTCTTTGAGCTAAGCCCAGCAGTTACGGCTCCAGAATTGGTAAGGCGCCTTCTGCAAGTTTAGCATATCGCATGTCAAAGAATCTGAAAAATACAGTATGAAAAATGTAATCATCACATACAAATAGCTGTATGTGGAAGCAGCAGCGACTTAAACAGCCAAATTACATGCAGTACAATTCGTTTTCTCCTGCATTGAAAACTATTGCAAGGCTCCCCAAATTAGCCCTTTCATCTCATTTAGCTATTTCTAAGGCCAGTTTATTCTCTGAAAAATAGGTGTCAGATTCAGGAAGATGGAAAGAGGAGGACTTGAAATGAAAGACATTCCAAACAGAAATACCAAATGAAGTAACAGTAGTGACATTTTCAAGCAGACTGGGGGCTACTGCAGCTTGCAGATATTGAAGCAGCCAGCAGAGGGAGCTCATACAGATCCACCAGAGCAATCACCTTCAGGTACAAATACACAACAGGTTTCAAATGAAATAGATCCCAGTTCATATTAGCTTTCACATGTATTGCACACACTGAATCATAGCTGTCACTTCAAATTAGTTTTTTTTTATTCCTGCAAGAAGGGATTTAATCTCCAGGTCCCGTGGGTCGCATAATTAGCTCAGGTATAACAGCACATACTACATGTGGAGAAACACACTTGTACACGAATAACATAGGTCCAAGTGGCATTATCATGGCATCCCCCATAAGGCTTTCCTTCTGCTTAAGTAGAGCAGTAATGTCCCCTTTCTTATCTCCCATGAGCTTTCAACACCTGGCCAATAACGGGTGCTGCAAAGACAAGTTGGTTTTTTATCCTTGCATGTTTTCCTGCAGAGTTCATTAGGATGCACTGTACTTCCAACCCAGACTGGTGGATGCCATCCGAAGAGCAAATAAACAAGGTATTCAGTGACGCAGTGGGACATGCTCGTCAAGGGCGTGCGGTGGGGACTTTCCTTCACAATGGAAACTCATATTATGAAGGGACTGACCATCCAGGATCACAGGACGAAGTCTTCAATAGAGGTATGCAAGATGGATCTGGTGATTGATGGCAGTGAGAAGAACCTCCTACAACAGCAGCAGCCACTTAATTTAGGAGAGACTATTTGTTAAACATACTTACCCTGCTGTCATTTAAGAGTCCAAAGCATGTTTGAACACATACCACATACATTTCAGCTTCTCCATCCTAACGTGTCCCAGTTAACAGAAAGAAATCAGTTTCAAGACCAGCTGTATGGGACTTCTCAGTGCCTGTTATTTCCAAATCCTTTGTAGCACCCTCAAAAGGAAATTGCAGTTCCTTTCATCTAGTCCTAGGGGAAAGGTCATTTAAAAACTATAAAGATGTCAAAAAGAAACAGCAGTTAGGTCATTTAAAAACTATAAAGATGTCAAAAAGAAACAGCAGTTACTGTCTCATCTGCCTATTGATAACAAGCCCAGGTCTGAAGCCAGAACAGCTGGGTACAGGTTGCTTTCCCTGAGTAGGGGATGTAAGAACAAGTCTGCACTCTTGTAAAAAAAAAAAAGAAACGGTCTCCCATTTCCTAACAGAAAATAACGTAATTATAAATGCTACCTTAAAATACTACACAAGATGGAAAATTCAGGGACTTCCTTTAGCCAACTCTGCCAGGAAATTAAGCTTCCCATGTAAAACAGCAGTGTTTGTCAACAGCAGAATCCTTCAAAGACCCAGAACAATAATAGCAGGCACTTCTAATAGATAAAAATTGCTTTGTATATCAGATAGACACTATGTATATCTAGATTTCCAGGGGACTAGGGTTGATCATGACAGTTTTCATTAAAATAAGATTGCTAAAACCAAATTGCCATTTCAGAAGACAGGTTTTGCTTTGTCTGTTCCTGTTCTGCAGACATGTAGCTTCAGAGGCTTTAAATTGCCTTTTCTTAGTTTTGCTTTCATTTGTGTTTTATACCCTTTCCTTGAAATAGATGAGGCAATGTGCTGGTCTTAAGAGTCGGATGCTCAACAGCGCATTCAGGGAAGGGTTGGATAAAAGCAGCCTAGCTTAAACTCCTGTTGTAAGTGAACACAGGGTCCAGATTAAGCAAGCTGTTACAAAAAGAGCCATGCTAAAGCAGAATTCACAGTGGTGCACAATGTTGGAAGCAGATACTGACTTTAAAACAAAACAGAAATCAGTCCATTGAAAAACTTAAATTTTAAAGGCTTAGGGGTCCTCTGTCCCTCTAAATTGATGCACTCCAGAAATATGTAATGCCAAAGAAATAAACCCCTTTCCTTTTCATGTTTTCCATCTCCTTACCCTTGTCCGGTGTCTCAGGCCATCAGTGGCATGCTTCCTGGCCTGAACCAGCCCTCCGTAAGGCAACATTTCCCCAGTGGCAGGTACAGGGAACTTGTTTTTGGAAAGAAAGTTCACTTTGCTTTTGACTGTCCTTAGTGCTACCTCATCAGCAGCGACTCTCCTGAACACATATCTCATGCTCCCCAGCTTTCCTAACTGCCTTGTGCAAGCCACGAGAGAAGCTACTGATTGCTCTTTTTACCCTTATCCCCTCCCTCCTGCTTTTCTCCCCATGTGCTGGGCAGCACAGGGGTGCCAGCCCCTTCTTCAAATACCAGGAAGGGCCTTTTGGGGTGCAGCACTCCTCTAGTTCCAGCCTGACCATGAATGGAGGACAGAGGTCAGCTCACCCACATAGTAGTTTCTTCTTGACCCCTCTCTCCTCTTTGCCTGCGGTTGTGACTGATCTCTCATAGACAGCCCTCAGGGCATCTTGGGACACAGGCTCCACCATAAATAAGACCTCTCTCAATCAGGATATGCTTTAGGCCCTTAAATGTCCAATACCTCTCAATTCATTTTATTTTTTGGCGATTTTTGATAAGGGGGTTAAAAGGCATGTGCCCGCACCAGAATAACTCATTTATTCTCTGTAAGTGAATGAGCAGTTTAGTCATACTGGACTTCACCAGGCCAAGGGGTCTGAGACAGCATCCCTCACTACAGGCAGGAGGTGACTTTCTTTGAGCAGTCAACAGTACATGGTGGCCCCTGGAGGAGAAACTCAGTGTATAGAAATGTCACAGTACAGATACCCTATAGTAGCTTTTCAGTGTTGAACTTACACTTTTTTTAAAAGAACTATAATAGAAGATGTTACATTGCTCCGATGGTGTAAGTTGCTGGTCTATGTTTAATGTGGTGACTTGCCAGAACTACTCGGTAAAACATGTCGGAACGTGTGAGTCAACATTCTACTGTAAATTTGTGCACAGCGATATGTATCATGCTGTATTTTTGTAAACATTGTGATGGTTTCCTTTCAAATGTTTAATCATATGGGATTAAAAATACGGATGCTTCATTTTTAACAGTCACAGAATTACTGGGCTGGACAGACCTCTCACTTAATAACCTAAAGATATGCTGACATAACTAGTAAGTCTACCTTTATTTTTAGCATAAAACGTGTAGCCAGCATCCTGGAACCTCTCACAATCCTCTACTTTCATACTGTACAAAATAACCAAATGTATAGTTTCATCTTGAAAGCCACTTTGGCACTAGGGATGGCTTTGCAGATTTAGACCTTTCTTTACAGACAAAATTTTGCCCTCAGTTGCTTGTGTGCACTGGCCAGTGACATGAATCATAGTCACAGACAGGCATTAACAGGCACTAGCTCATCTTTTTTTGTTCACATTTGAGTTTAAAATCACAGAGTACAACAACTTTCCTTAGTTGTCTGTCTGGTTTTAATTGCCATCATGGCCACTTGACTCTTGACCCATCCATTTCATTTAAACAAAAATAAAACCCAAACCTTTCACAACAGCTTACTCCAATTCACTTGTTCATGAGGCATTATAAATTCATAGACATTGAAGTGTCTAAATATCCACAAGAGGTTAGGTACAATAGTATGGGACCTGAAATAATAGATAGCAAATAAGCCCTTGCACAGCAAGATGCCCATATTTAAGCAGCGTGCTTTGAAAGTCAGCACATGCTTTCCCAGCTCTGGATATAGGCAGCAGGCTTGTGACAGAAGGAAACTGCTATCTATCATGTCACTCCAGAAAGTCCCAGGAGAATTGTGATTCTTGTCTTACTCTTCCATACTCTTTAATCTTACTGTCATTTATGTATCTGCCTTCTCTCTAACTTTGTGTAGCAGTACTGCACGCCCATCTGTGCCAATATGCCTTCGCTATATTTTCTATGACAAATATTTGTGGAGAAACTGTGATTAAAAAACCATTAATCCTGATATTTTTATTGTTATGGTGTAGTTAATTCTATGAATACTTTCTATGATGATTGTACTGTGTAGAGTAAGTACAGGTTAGGGATAGACCTTTACCAGATATTGTACAAAAAAAAAAGTGCATAGTGTAATATAGATTAGTAAGGTTTTTGTGACAATTTCTATAGGATGTGTGAATTGTTTTCTATGTGGCAATATACATTTCTTTTAAAGAATATAAAATCTTAGAGATTTTTTAAACAGTCAATATTTTTTAATTATAAAGACATTTGTTACTTAAAGTTTACTATTTCAGGTGTTAATTCTAATTTGAGTATTGGTTTTATTACTACATACCTCCAGTTCCATTTGTTCTGTTGTATAAAAATGCACAATAAAAGTTAGTCTCTGGTCAACCAGTCTCTCCCTCTCTGTAGGCATCATTGTGTCAGCATGACAGCTGTCACAACTGGTTCTCATTATAAATACGTATTAAAAGTTTTAGGTTTATGTAAAAAGGCTAAAGGGTTGTCTTTTGCATTAAGTGTTTGGTATGAAGCACCAGCAAGCACAGTGAAAGATAATGAAGGATTCAAGTATGAATATAATAGAAATAATTTTCACCTCAAAATATAACCATATGTATTTGTGTGCTGGTTAGACAGAAAAACTGCTCAGAGGAAGTACCCATCTGCAATCTTAAGACCTGGATTTTCAAGCGGTGAAGTTTAAATCCCATTTTAATTCAAAATTCAGTGATAGCTGAATGGCTCATGTTCTCTTAAATGCTTTAGAAAATCCCAACTCCAAATAATTCCTAGAGGAATTATGGTGACAAACATTCACCACACAAACCCCTTCTGCTGGGCTGTGAAGCAAGACGGACCTGAGCACAGGCTGGTGTCACTCATGAGGAACAGTTGCCAAATATTCCCATTATATAATAATGCTTTCAGATGCCTGTCATGCATGTTGCAAAACTAGCTGGGGTTGGGCTGGTATTTTCTAGATCCAGGGCCTTAGCCTACTGTATTTTTTGTCAAAATCCTCATGTCATGGTTTAAACACAGCTAGACAACTCATTCACTCACTCCCCCCCTTCTTGCCCTCCCCCTACTCCCAGAGGGATGGAGAGGAGAATCGAAAAGAATGCAACTCCCACGGGTTGAGATAAGAACAGTTTAGTAACTAAGGTATAACACAGATCACTACTGCTACCACCAATGATAATAATGATAAAGGAAATAACAAGGGAAGAGAATACAACACCTCAGCACCAGCTGACCAATAACTTGCCCCCCCCAACCTGACCAAGCACCAACTGATCCCTTGTCCAGCCACGCAGTCCCAGCCCTTCCGACTAACTCCCAGGTACCTCCTGGGCATGACATGCTGTGGTATGGAATACCTCTTTGGTCAGTTTGGGTCAGGTGTCCTGTCTCTGCTTCCTCCTGGCTTTCCCTCCTCCCTGGTAGAGCATGAGGCTCACAAAGTCCTTGGCCAAACCAAAACATCATTGTTATCAGATCTGTTCCCAGGCCCAAGGTCAAAACACACCGCTGCACCAGCTACCAAGAAGGAGAAAAATGACTGTTACTGCTGAACCCAGGACACCTCATTAGCGAAAACCTTTATTTTATAAAAACCTTTATTTATTAACGTCCTTTTTAGTAAAAACCTCACCAAAATAATTTCAGGCTATTTTGAGAAATGTGGGTAAAAATCCCATGTTAATCCCTCTGAAAATAAATGTAAATAGCTTCTCTTTGGAAAGCTCGGAATTCCCATACTCTTGGGCAGTGACTTGAAATGTCAGAGGGGAAATCCAGAGGCAGAAATGGACAGGGATGGGTTATGGGGAAATGGACAGGGTGATGAGGCAGTATATGCAGGAAACCAGCAAGGGAAAAGCTTTAAACTAGATTTGAAGGGGGATGGGGTTGTAGCTGGGCTTGCCCCAGTGGGGCAGCGCTCCAGAATTAATGAAGACTGGGAGGCCTCCTGTAATCCTAGGGTGAAATCGGTGTGCTCAGCTCGCTCCCTGGAATGTCTGTACACCAATGCGCGCAGCATGGGAAATAAGCAGGAGGAGTTGAAAACCTGTGTTAAGTCAGGAGACTATGATCTGGTGGCAATTACAGAGACGTGGTGGGACAGCTCACATGACTGGAATATAGTCATGGAGGGCTATGTCCTTTTCAGAAAAGACAGGCCAGCCAGGCGGGGTGGTGGGGTTGCTCTTTATGTGCGGGAGCAACTACAATTCACCAAGTTCAGTCCAGGGACAGATGACGAGCGAGTTGAGAGTCTGTGGGTGAGAATTAAGGGGCAGGCTGGCAGGGGGGATACTGTTGTGGGTGTCTGTTACAGACCACCAGATCAGGGTGAGGAAGTTGACGAGGCCTTCTACAGGCAGCTGAGAGCGGCCTCACAGTCACAGGCCGTGGTCGTCGTGGGGGATTTTAACTTCCCTGATGTTTGCTGGAAGGACCACTTGGCAACCCAACCACAGTCCAGGAGGTTCCTCCAGTGTATGGATGATAACTTCCTCCTACAAATGGTGGATGAGCCGACCAGGAGAGGAGCACTGCTGGATGTCATCCTCACTAACGAGGATCTGGTTGAAGCAGTAAGGGTTGAGGGCTGCCTTGGTTGCAGCGACCACGAGATGGTGGAGTTCAGGATCTTGTGTGGTAGGACTAGGAGAATACCAAGTAGAATTGCAACCCTGGACTTTAGCAGGGCAAACTTTGGCCTTTTCAAGCAATTGCTAGGGGTAATGCCATGGGCAAGGCTGTTTGAAGGTAAAGGGGCCCAAGATAGTTGGTTGGCATTCAAGGATTGCTTTTTCCGTGCTCAAGATCGGAGCATCCCGACACGGAGGAAGTCAAGGAAGAGGGCCAGGAGACCTGCGTGGCTAAATAGGGAATTGCTGGGTATGCTCAAGTGGAAGAGGAGAGTTTACAGGTCATGGAAGGAGGGGCTGGCCACTTGGGAGGAATATAAGGCTGCTGCTAGAGGATGTAGGAAGACAGCTAGGATGACTAAGGCCTCCTTAGAATTAAACCTGGCAAGAAGGGTCAAGGACAGCAAAAAGAGCTTTTTCAAATACATGGCAGATAAAACTAACACCAGAGGCAATGTAGGCCCACTGATGAACAGGATGGGTGCCCTGGTGACAGAAGATACAGAGATGGCAGAGTTACTGAATGCCTTCTTTGTCTCTGTCTACTCTGCTGCAGGCAGTCCTGAAGAGCCCTGTACCCCTGAGACCTTAGATGAAGTCAGGTCGACGGAGCGGTTTGCCTTAGTCGATGAGGAATGGGTTAGAGATCAGTTGAGCAACCTGGACATCCATAAATCCATGGGTCCAGATGGGATGCACCCGCGGGTGCTGAGGGAACTGGTGG